AGTGGGTCCTGGGTTCCTCCTGGCGCACGCATCCCTTTCCCCATCATTGGCAAAAAATTGCGGGCATTTTCCTGGGGAAAAAAAGAAATTTTAAACCATTGAATGTTCCCCATACGGGCCTAAACCAAATCTGATAGAACACCTCGGGGATTTTCATTTTTTTGGCCCACCCAAACATGCCTTTTTCACCCCAGACGTCCAGGGTTTTCAGTGTCCCCGGTTCCAGATCTGGGGGGAATTTCCCAGGACACCCTTCCCGTTGTTTCATTGGGAGCTTGCCCTGACTTTGTCGGGCCCAGCATACAAACCCCAGGGGGGCCATACAAACTACTGAGTGAAATTTAAAATTTTTCAACAAAATTGGACTAGTCTGCTGAATAATTTTTTTCACTTTGATTTTCAGGGTGTCTTTGGATTTCAGTCCTCTGTAGGTTTATCATTTTTTCATTTCAGCATCATATGATGGAGCACTACCTTTTAATTCCATAACTACATTACCCAGTCCGTTATCTTTATATGATATCCAGCATGATTTTGTTTGAGCAGTGTATGAAGTGTATGTGTGTGTATGGTCTGTGTATATATACCGTATTTTTCGCCTTATAAGACGCACCCTGACCATAAGACGGCACTAGGTATTAGATGGCAGAAAGAAAACTGGAAAAAAAAAATTCTGAACTAATGGGACTGCAGGGGGACACCAGTACAAGTGGATGACCAGGAGACTGCGGAACAGCAACAGGGTATGAACCAGAGTACTGGACGGACTGCAACAGGGTATGGACCAGAGACTTCGGACAGGCCTGCTCAGGGTATGACCAGAGTCTGCGGACAGTACAGATGACTGCTGACCTTTGGGGAGTGGTGGGGAGCGGGTCTTCTCCTGAATTTGACAGGTACCCGATTCTTACTTCCGCTGATGTTTTTGTTTGATCTTTACCTGTTCCTCGATCAAGCCGTGCGCTGGTCTTCCCGGCTTCCTGTAACTGGCGCTCGGAGATGACAGCCGGTAGGTGGTGCCCAGTGTGCATTGAGCGAGTAGGCACGAAAAAAATACGGTATGTGGTATGTATTGTGTATGTATGTATGTATATTATGTATTGTAATGTATATGTAATGTATGTATATGTTTGTGTGTGTTATTTTTTATATTATTTTTTAATTTTTTATTTTTTTTATATTTTATTTTTTTTTTTTTTAGTTTTGGGCATTTTTAAAATTTTATTTTTATGTGCATAATTCTTAATTTTTTTTTCCAGTTTTAGTTGAGATTGTATGGGCTGTCTGTCGTTATATGTATGTGCTCTTTTAATTTTTGGTCTATCAAATAGAGAGGTTTTCCAATTATGTTGAGGTCGATAAGATTGGGATTGGCCATGGCAAAACTTCAGTTTACGCATTAAGGTTGATGTAATCCTAGTGGATTTCGAGGTGTGTTTAGGATACATATTTCCATTTGTAGAAGCATTCCTCTCTTTAAACTTCAGCTTTTTCAAATTTGGCATCAAGTTACTCATTTTTTTTTTATGGGTGAGAATTTGCTGAAATTTAACATTGAATTTGTTATTTTTCATTAGTTCTATTTGTGTTTGATGTTTCCCTGTTATGGGGGATATTATAAAGATGGCTGCAATACTCAAACCCATAGAGCTTGAGTTGATCCAACTCCGCATGCTTAACAGTTTGGACAGAGGGTTTTTTCATTAAATTCTGTTGCCCCTATTTGTCCCAAACGTTACCTTTGCTCAGTTCTCCAGCAAAAAATTTGTTCAATTTTAGGAATAAACTCATCGGTTAAGGGTACCATATTTGTACAAGTATCTATTTATAGTGGAAATAGTGGTAACCATACAACTCCAGTGTCTGCCAGATCTTTCTGGAGGGATCGTGCAGTCAAACGTGGGTTTTGAATTGTTTTATGTTCTCACAATCCTGCGTAGCTGTTCTGTCTGATAATTTTTTCTTGGTCTTCCAGATCTTGCTTTAACTTCCACTGTTCCTGATGACTGCCTTTTCTTAATTACATTTTGAACAGAGGATATTGACTTCTGAAAACGCTTTGCTATCTTCTTATAACCTTCTCCAGCTTTGTGAGCGTCAGCTATTTTTAGTTTCAGTTTTCTAGACAACTGCTTAGAAGAACCCATGGTGCTGATTGTTGGGGCAAGGTCAGATGAGTCTTAATATGTAGTGCACCCTTTAAAAAGCTTCTAATGAATCAGCTATGAACAGGAAACAGAGGCTACAATTCACACAAGCTCACCAAAATTGGACAATAGAAGATTAGAAAAACATTGCCCGGTCTCAAATTCCTTAGAAGAAAAAGGAATTTAAGTGACTTAGAACATGGCATGGTTGTTGGTGCCAGACGGGCTGGTCTGAGTATTTCAAAAATGGCTGATCTACTGGGATTTTCACGGACAACCATCTCTAGGGAAATCGAGACCAGGCAATGTTTTTCCAATCTTCTATTGTCCAATTTTGGTGAGCCTGTGTGAATTGTAGCCTCTGTTTCCTGTTCATAGCTGACAGGAGTGGCGCCCGATATGGTCTTCTGCTGCTGTAGCCCATCTGCTTCACGGTTTGACATATTGTGCATTCAGAGATGGTATTCTGCATACCTTGGTTGTAACGAGGGGTTATTTGAGTTACTGTTGCCTTTCTATCATCTCAAACCAGTCTGCCCATTCTCCTTTGACATCAACAAGGCATTTTTGTCCACACAACAGCTGCTCACTGGATATTTTCTCTTTTTTGGACCATTCTCTGTAAATCCTAGAGGTGGTTGTGCGTGAAAATCCCAGTAGATCAGCTATTTTTGAAATACTCAGACCAGCTCGTCTGGCACCAACAACCATGCCATGTTCATAGTCGCTTAAATTCCTTTTTCTTCTCCATTTTGATGCACGGTTTGAACTTCAGAAAGTTATCCTTACCACATCTAGATGCCTAAATGCACTGAGTTGCTGCCATGTGACTGGCCGATTAGCAATTAGTTACCAAGCAATTGAACAGATGTACCTAAGAAAGTGGTCAGTGAGTGTATATGTAAAATATATATACACACATACAGTGGTCAGCATAACACACCTTTTGAAAAGTAATGTTTTATTTTAATCAATATCTTAATGAACACAAGACCAATTTCCAAAATTTTGACAACTGAGTTTTATAGAACATTTGTTTAGCTCATTACATGAAAGTAAGGTTAATAATATAACTTAGATTGCAAAATCTTAAATTTTACTCAAATTAGTTGATGCAAAAATGAATACGCCTCACAACAAAAACTACTACATCTAGTATTTTGTATGACCTCCATGACTTTTAAAGACAGTACCAAGTCTTCTAGGCATGAAATGAACAAGTTGGTGACATATTGCCACATCTATCTTTTCTTATTCTTCAAAAATGACCTCTTTTAGAGCCTGGATGCTGGTTGGAGAGTGATGGTCTACTTGTCATTTCAGAATTCCCCATAGGTGTTCGATTGGGTTTAGATCAGGAGACATACTTGGCCACTGAATCACTTTCACTCTGTTCTTCTTCAGAAATGCAACAGTGGCCTTAGATGTGTGTTTTGGATCATTGTCATGCTGGAAAAGTGCACAATGACCAAGGGCACAGAGTGATGGTAGCATCTTCTTTCAATATAAAACTGTAAATCTATGAATTCATGATACCATCAATGAAATGCAGCTCCCTGACACCAGCAGCACTCATGCAGCTCCACAGAAGTACACTGTCATCACCATGTTTCACTGTAGGCACAATGCATTTTTCTTTGTACTCTTCACTAGAGATGAGCGAATTATTCAAAAATTCGATTCGGCTGATTCGCCGAATTTGCGGGAGAAATTCGATTCGATGCGAATTTATTCGCCGCGAATTTAACTTATTAAAAGGGTTTCTAGGCTTCAGAGAGCCTTTATATTAGTGCAGAACACTGTACCTTTAATTTAAATGCCCTTGGAGTCTGCTGGGGAAGAGAAATAATACTGTCAGTCAGTATGACATGCAGATGAGTGCCGTCGATCTTAGAATCACCGCACACTTCACTCATTTGGGCAGTCACGGGGCACGACGAAGAAGAAGAAGAAGAAGAATGAAAAGAAGAATGAAGAATGAAAAGAAGAATGAAGAAGAAGAAAAGAAGAAGAAGAAGAAGAATGAAAAGAAGAAGAAGAAAAAGAAGAGAAGAAAAGAAAAGAAGAATGAAAAGAAAAGAATGAAAAGAAAAGAAGAATGAAAAGAAGAATGAGAAGAAGAATGAAAAGAAGAAGAAGAAGAATGAAAAGAAGAATGAAAAGAAGAAGAATGAAAAGAGGAAGAAGAATGAAAAGAATGAAAAGAAGAAGAAAAGAAGAATGAAAAGAAGAAGAAGAAGAATGAAAAGAAGAATGAAAAGAAGAAAAGAAGAATGAAAAAGAATGAAGAAAGAATGAAAAGAAGAAAAGAAGAATGAAGAATGAAAAGAAGAAGAAGAAAAGAAAAGAAGAAGAAGAAGAATGAAAAGAAGAAGAAGAAGAATGAAAAGAAGAATGAAGAAGAAGAATGAAAAGAAGAAGAAGAAGAAGAATGAAAAGAAGAAGAAGAATGAAAAGAAGAATGAAAAGAAGAAAAAAGAAGAAGAATGAAAAGAAGAAGAATGAAAAGAAGAATGAAAAGAAGAATGAAAAGAAGAATGAAAAGAAGAAGAAGAATGAAAAAAAGAAGAATGAAAAGAAGAAGAAAAGAAGAATGAAAAGAAGAAGAAGAAGAATGAAAAGAAGAATGAAAAGAAGAAGAAGAATGAAAAGAAGAAGAAGAAGAATGAAAAGAAGAAGAAGAAAGAAGAAGAAGAAGAAAAGAAGAATGAAAAGAAGAAGAATGAAAAGAAGAATGAAAAGAAGAAGAATGAAAAAGAAGAATGAAAAGAAGAAGAAGAAGAAGAAAAGAAGAAGAAGAAGAATGAAAAGAAGAATGAAAAGAATGAAAAGAAGAATGAAAAAAGAAGAAATGAAAAGAAGAAAAGAAAAGAAGAAGAAGAAAAGAATGAAAAGAAGAAGAAGAAGAATAAGAAGAATGAAAAGAATAAGAAGAAGAATGAAAAGAAGAAGAAGAAGAATGAAAAGAAGAATGAAAAGAAGAAGAAGAAGAAGAATGAAAAGAAGAAGAAGAAGAAGAAAAATGAAAAGAAGAATGAAAAGAAGAAGAAGAAGAAGAAGAATGAAAAGAAGAAGAATGAAAAGAAGTATTCCAGTACAGCAAAAAGTGTATCTGCAGAGAGCTCCGCTATTTCTGACAGTTCTCTGACAGTTCCTTCACATTTACAGCGGTTGAAACATTGTATCTATTTATTTCCGAATAAAAACATCTGTATCCTAAATGGAAACAAATAGATACAATGTTTCAACCGCTGTAAATGAACTGTCAGAACTGTCAGAAATAGCAGAGCTCTCTGCAGTGACACTTGCCGGCTGATCGGGAAAAATTTGATTCGTGCACCCGAAGTTTGCTAAAATTCGGATTCGATGCGAATCAAATTTTTCCTGATATTCGAAACGAATTCCACTTCGCCAGGTTCGATTCGCTCATCTCTACTCTTCACCTTTGCGACACCATAAAGTTTTGAAGCCATCAGTTCCAAAAACATTTATCTTGGTCTCATCACTCCAGAGTCTTAGTAGTCTTCTTTTTCAGCATTGGCCCTGGCAAATTCTAGGCAGGCTTTTTTGTGCATGGGCTTTAGGAGAGGCTTTCTTTGTGGACAACACCCATGCATGCCATTCCTCTGCAGTGTACGTTGTATTGTGTCATGGGAAACCATTACCCCAGTTTGGCTTTCTACTTTTTTAGCTAACTGCTGTGAACTTGCATGGTGATTTTTCTTCAACCCTTCTCAGCAAAAGAAGCTCCTGTCGAGTTGTTAACTTCTGGGAATGGAAGGAGGAGTTTTCCGCACATTCTGCTCTAGGAATATGCAGGACCCCGACCTCTGTTTGGACAGTGCTGATTGGCCTTGTGCTGATCAAATGCACTCTCCCAAGAGAAAAAAAACATGTCTAACAATACACACCAAAATTGAGCATGTTCCGAGTGTCTCCACATGATATGTCTTATCAGTAGATAAGAGGGGGACACGGGAAGAAGGGGAGAATCAGAGGAGACAGGATCAAACAGCGTTTTTACACAATGCAGATGATTAACCCCGTAAGTTCCACAGTGAGTATAACAAGAATTCTTTACTGCATATACAGACTGATTTTACTGTTGTGGGTTTAATAAGGCTTAGTATGTTCTCCCTCCTACACTCACCTATGCACAAAATGACCAATTTGTGGTTGGGTTTGCTGACCACAGTGTTTGCGTAAAATGTCAGGCAGGAAACTTGCAGCTTAGCAGAACACATTGAATTTTAAGGAGCTATCATGTAACACATACAGGGGTTGATTTTCTACAACGGGAGAGTGCGAAATCTGGTGCAGCTGTACATGGTAGCCAATCAGCTTCTAACTCCAGCTTATTCAGTTATGGATTGACAAAAACACTGGAAACTGATTTGTTTCTATGCAGAGATACACCAGATATTGCTCTTTCCAATTTTAGTAAATCAACCCCATAGAGGTGCAAACTATTATGGTGCAGTCTAGTTTGTGCACTCTCCTTTCTGGACATACATACTTACTTTGTGAGAATATTGTTAGCATTAGCATGTTTCACCCAGGCCAGCAAAGTGAAGCTAATGCTTCACATGGAAAATGTAAATATGGAGAATTATCCATCAAATTTCAACTGAACTCTCCAATTTCCTTTCAACAGTCTTTGAGATGCCTGATCCTACATGCTTACCATTTCAGTGGCGCTGGAAAGCAGATGCGATTACTCCTGCAGTATATTTTCCAGTAGTAAATGAGGTGCCTTGTAGATTGTTTCAAGGGCCCTTTACTTGCACAGATGTGTATGTATGTATGCCTGTGTGCTTGTTTGCAAATTTAATGAAGCAACTGAATGAAAACTATGCAATATAGGAAGAAATATTAACTTGTTATAAACCGTGCTCTGTCATTATTAAAATGAAGGTGCTGGTGCTGTAAGACAGTTGTTCTATCCATGAAGCTTGTCTTACAGGCCAATTTTATTTGCTTTTCATCTACTGTATATAGATCATTGGATAGTTTGTATAGGCTAAAATGTGTATAGGATCCCAGTGCATAAACGTACCATAGTCAGACTGTTACGAGACAAACTGGGTGTTGATTTTCTCTCTTTTCTCCAACAGCCCAAATTTTGGGAGCAGAGAGATCAAAGTAATATGGGACTTTACATGTGCCTTGACAGGAACGTACAACACAATAACATCAAAATATATAACTCTTTATTATATCATTTAAAACAAGGTTAAAATCATACACTAAAGTACACTAAAGAGTAAATTGAGTACTATATCAATTCAGTTATGAAATACACCTAATTGTGATTTACAAAAACTGGTGTGATGGCTTGACGCATATTGAAGTTTTGGTACGGATCCTGAAGATCCGGCGTGAACGCATAGGTGTGGATCCTGATTAAGCAGAAACACTCTGAAATGCATCAATCCATCACACCAATTCTGTGATTTACAATTATATGTATATCACAACTGAATTGATATAGTATCCTATTTACTCTAGAAACCTTGTTTGAATGATGTCATAAATGAGATGAAGCTCTGCTGACTTCTACCATCCAATCATTTGCAAGGAAAAATTAGTTTTTTTTTGTTTTTTTTCCTTGTCCATGACTGAGTATTCTTTTCAAAATGAAGTTGCACCATATTCACTAATTCCCTTGCACAGTGCAACTCCACTTGCAAAGTGAACTGTGCATTTGCTTTCAGTCTATCAACCCCATAGAATTAGACATTCTCTGCTACAAATGTTTCTTGATAAATATTCATTGCACCACAACATCTGAAACAAATCTCTGACATGCTCTCTGCAAGTGATAAGGCGATATTATGTGTTGTAAAATGCTGTTCAAGCTCTATAATGTCTTTATCATGCAAAGACCTCAAGCATAAGCACTTGGAACCAAAACAATTATCATCACATTTCAAAACTCAATAAAGTTTCTCAGGTGACTTGCCAAGAGAAACCTTTTGATGAGATTTTCGGCTGGCAACATCTAAACTCTTAATTGGGAGGATAATAAACATGCGTAAATGTGTGCCATTCTGTTAATATACCCCTCCAGAGGGTGAAAACTGTCTTAGCCGTGATAACAAATCTGTGCCAATTTAAACAGGAACAGCTGGGGTACAAAGACCTCTTTTTGTTTTGATAATCAAAACCAGTAACTGGAAACAGGTCAAAATAAGTAATTTACCTTAAATGATGATCAAATGCAGAAACATAGAAATCTAAATATAAATTAGGATGTACTCTTTTCACTCTTATTCAGAACTGTTTACTTTGTTTCTGTTTGTAATATTTCTTCATACTAAAGATTTTTTCACGGCGACAGATTTTCAATGACAAACATTTTTTCACCTACAGAAAGGTGACTGGTCTCTACTTTCATAACTGCCACATACAAGGTCATTGCTTTCAAGGTAAAAACACAATAGTTGTCTATTTTTAAAAGAACCACTCATAACTGAACTTTTGAAAGAAATGGCATATCCAGTATTAAGTGACCATACTAATGGGTCAATAAAATCACAAAACAACTAACCTGTGAAGGAAAAAGCTTTATATATAACGGTCCATCAGTCAGTTTGCTATACTCTAGCAGAGCTCCTGGCTTTGACCCAGAGTTATAGTTCTAAAGATGGAGAAGAACACATCCCTCTCTTGCTCAAGTGGTTTCTCCTGACAACCCCAAGGTCAAAATTGTGTCTTGCAGCATCTAGTGAGTTAGCAGAAAGGATTACAGTAACCTGCTGGGGACGTGTTGTATGACGAGCCTGAGGAGTCAAATCTGATTGGTGTCTAAAACTCTGCTATAGAGTGAAGTTTTACCAAATGTGTAAGTTTTATTTACAAGATATATATTTTTTATTTTGTAGACCCCCTTACAGGGTCACTACAAATTATTTTAAATGTTTAACCGCTTGCCACCTGTCGTATACTAGTTATACGGCCTCACGGTCAGCTCTTTAGTTCTGGGGCGCACATCAAGAATTGTCTGTGATGAAGAGCATAGCTGGTGTGGAAGCTGAATGGCTGCATAACCACACAGCTCTGCTGTGCTTACAGTGCCAGCACACAGCAGCGGCAGAATTGACACTCCAAAAGCAAACAGAGGAGAGGCAACAGCCCAGTGACCCTCAGGGAGATGACAAAGAAGAGGAAAGCTGAGAGGAAACTCCTGAAATTAACACTTTCCCCCTTGGCCGGATCACAGCAATCCCCAACATGGCAGCAGCAGCAGCAGCTCAGGATCCTCCACCTCTCACTCAGCACACAGGCAAGTCTCTGCAGCTTCTCCCGTGACACCTGTTAGGTAGAAAAACAGCTCTATCTTAATGCAGCTTGTCTCCCCTGCTTTTCTCTGCTCTCTCTATTGAGAGCCCAGCAAAATCTAAACCTTGAATGACAGATATTAACCCACAGCATGCTGTAACAGATTCTCACACTAATACTTCACATTCTGCAAGCAATTTTTCAGATCCAATAGCTAACTTTCCTACTACTAGTCAGCTTATTTCTGATACATTAATGAAGGAGATGCGCCTTTCATTAAGATCATCCATACAGTCAGATATCATTAACTCTATGCAACAAATCAAATCAGAGATTAATGATCTTGGCGACAAAGTTGACCATGTTGAAACAAAAATGGGAGAATATGCCACTTCCTTTAACACCCTAGTAGACGCCCACATGAAAGGGATGAAGAAATTGAATGGGTCAAAAATAAAGTCGCAGATCTGGAGGATAGATCACAACATAATAACATTAACATAAGAGGCATTCCAGAATCGATACAACCTGACCAATTGAGAGCATATTTATGAGCTCTTTCATGCCCTCCTACCTGATGCTACAAACAAACACAGATCTGACCATCAATAGAATACATTGCCTTCCAAAACCCTCCTATCTGCCAGATGAAATACCTCGATGTCTTGATGAGAATTCATTTTTTTCATGTCAAAGGAAAAATCATGGAACTTGCACGCACACCCCAGAATTTGCCTGCACAATTCTCCTCTTTTACAGCTTTTCACAGATTTATCTAAGCACAGCATGCAACTCAGGAAAAATCAACTCCCAATAACAAAAGCTCTACAAAACCACAAACTTATTTATCGTTGGGGTTACCCAAATGACTCCATCATCACAATCAACAGCCTAGAGCAAGGGTGTCAAACTGGAGGCCCTCCAGCTGTTGCAAAACTACAAGTCCCATCATGCCTTTGAGAGTCATGCTTGTAACTGTCCATCTTGCAATGCCTCATTGGACTTGTAGTTTGGCAACAGCTGGAGGGCCACCAGTTTGACATATGTGGCCTAGACAAAGGTCTGCAATGTCTTAGAGAGTGGGACATTCTCCCAGAAAGTGTCCCACAACATTCTACCACCACCAAAGCGTCTCCAGAGTGTAACCTGGTCACTCACAAACACCAACCTAAACATTGACCGTATATTTGCAATCTTATCTCATGGTCCCACTTAGATGTAATTTCACATGTTTAACCTCTCTGGCGGTATTCCCGAGTGTAGCTCAGAGTAAAGTTTCAGTACCACAAGCGGTAACCCCGAGCTACACTGGGGCTTACCATGCGGCGCTGCTCCGTGATCCCTTCGATCACTCACTTACCTTGTCCTGCGCTCCCGCGATGTCCCTCCTGCAGTGTCCCCAGCAATGTAATCCGGTGGATGCCGGCATCTGTCATCTGGGTTCCGTCCCCTGCGAGCGTCGGGACGTATGGGGGGACGGAACGGCGAGAAAATTGAAAATGACAAAAAGTGACATTCACTAAAATCACATAGTAAAACATTACTGTATCAAACCATTTCACATACATTTTGTCCCGAGTGCTTTGTCCTGTGCCCTGCCTGCATTTTTACTGTTCTTATTGCCTGGAAACTGAGAAACGTCCATGGCATCCAAAAAGCTTCCCTTTTAGGTCAAAAGCAGTTTTAGATCAGCTAGAGAACAGCGATAGTAAATCAGAACCAATTGCAGAATTGAGTGATGATTCGTGGGGAAATTCGTCATTAGACACTGAAAACGAATTTGCTCAGTGATGTGCGAACTTGGCGCTATATTTGAAATTTCAGTGTTTTTGGTTTGATTATATTATTGAATTAAATGTATTATTATTATAATATTTTTTATGATAATTTATTAAATTATAATTTTATGATTTCGTGTTTCAAATTTTAGCATACCCGGAATATGTTTACTAGACTCTTGTTCGGACAGATTTAAGTGAGTTATTCCTAAATATTTCAGGCCTACAATAAAAAAAATACATATTTCTATGCAAGAAAATGTACCGCTTTGAGCACAGAAATATGGACATAATCAGACCGCTAGGGAGGTTAAGCAAGGCACTGAGGGTACCCTTACCGAACACACTACCTGTAAGTATGCCTGCCAATGGCAAGATCACTTGTTTTGTTTTTGCCCCAAAAGTACTACAAAATGTTCATTGTATTCGGATCTTGGCTAAAATCCTATTTTTTACTCATTTGTTATCTGTTCAGTTATCTGTATATATTTATTTTTTTACATTTTGGTTCTACTATCGTGTTATTCCTGATTGTCTAAATGGTTTAACTGGCATGTGCATAAAAATGTATTACCGCTTTAGGGGCACTTTGGTTAAGTCCCGATTTAATATCGGTAAATATATCTATTCAATGGGTATAAAAATTATCTCTATTAATGTCAATGGCTTGAATCATCCAGCCAAATGTACAAACATGTGGAAACAGCCATTTAAAGAAAAATGTGATATATTCTGTGTTCAAGAGACTCATTTAGTAGATTTGGCCCCTCTAAATGCTCACACAAAAAGTTTCCACATGTCTATACTGCCAATGGCTCTGAAAAAAAAGAGGAGTACTCACTGCTATTAGAGATACACTTAACTTTGTTCTTCACAAAAATATCTCAGACCCCCAAGGCCGGTACCTGATTCTTATATGTACTATAGATAATACAGATTACACTATTGTAAATTCATATGCACCTAATACTCGTCAAAAAAGATACTTAACCAAGCTCTTCAAACTAATCTCCAAAAATTATTCTGGTTCCCTTTATACTATGCAGTGGCTTCAACCTCATAGTTGACAGAAACCTAGACTCCACAAAATCTCAAAAAAAGACTACCCCAACCCTATACCCCTTTCCAATAAATGAAGATGTCTATGACGTTTGGAGTTGTCAACATGCAGGTAAAACAGATTACACCTTTTTTTTTCGGCTAAATACCAATCTTATTCGAGAATTGACCTTATATTGGTAGATAAATGGCTACTGCAAAATGTTACCACATCAACCATAGGCAATATAACGTGGTCAGACCACGCGCCGGTTTCAGTTTCTATTTCGGATAACCACTTATTGAGACCACACAACCTCTGGTGCGTAAATTTGTCCCTTATAAAAATCCCCAACAATAACTTGATACTTGAAAAATATCTTGAGGAGTTCTTCCATATAAATTTGCAATCTGTATCAAACTCTGGCATCCTTTGGTGCACTCACAAAACATATATACGTGGTCTCAGCAAAGAAATAAACAGCTTAATGACTTATTACAGGATATTCGCAAACTAGCAACGAAAAATAAAGCTCAAGTCAATCAAACCACCTCAAATACACTCTCCAGACTAAGGAACGAATTACGCTCCTTACTAATGTACCAATTTGATAGAAGTACGCAAAGATTAAAACTCAACTACTTCTCTAATGGAAACAAAGCAGGGAAATACCTAGAAAATAAAATGAAATCCCTGCAAACTAGAACTAAAATACTGTATCTTATCAACCCAGAAGATAAAACTAAAATCACTAATCCTCAAGAAATAGCAAATTAATTTGCTAGTTACTACGATTCGCTTTATACCCTAAATCAACATTAATCTACTCTCCAACCTTCTATGGAAAACTTACAAGCATTTTTATCACAAATTCGCTTACCCACTCTTACAAAATCACAACTAAGTATCTTAAACTCCCCCATCACAATAAATGAAATAAACAGAACAATAGAAAAACTATCCAATGGCAAAAATCCGGCACCAGATGGATTTTCCAGCGAATACGTAAAATTTTCAAAAATATCCTGAGTTCTCATATAAACCAACTATACACTTGACATGTTTTCTTCCGCCTCATTACATTCCAAAATGCTAAAAGCATTAATTGTTACAATCCCCAAATCAGGTAAAGATCCAGATAGCCCACAACATTTCAGGCCTATTTCTTTATTAGATACTGATATTAAGATCTACGCTAAAATTATAGCATGCAGACTGGCCAATATACTCTGAGTTGATCAAGCCTGATCAGTTAGGCTTTACTAAAGGTAGACAAATATCTGACACAACCCTGAGACTAATCAACATAATTCATTATGCAGACTCGCATAAAATTCCCTCCTTATTACTTGCTCTGGACACCGAAAAGGCTTTTGATAGGATACATGTTCCAAGTACTGCATAAATTTGGATTTTCAGGAACAATTATTAATGCTATTTCAGCACTTTGACTCAAATCCTTCCGCCCAAGTCTATGTATCTAACATGCTATCCAAACCATTCTTAATTACAAATCGTACCAGACAAGGATGGCCGTTGTCTCCACTAATATTTAACCTATCAATTGAACCTCTTGCTGAAGTTATTAGAACTAATCCAGATATACATGGCTTCTAAATAGGTAAAAACCACCACAAAATAACGGTCTTGGCAGATGACATCATTTTAATGCTAACTAATCCCTCTACTTCTTTAGCAGCAATTCAACAAACTCTCATACAATTCAGTAATATTTCATATTATAAAAATAAATGCATCCAAATCTAATATCCTAAATCTGGGTGTAGATCACAGTCTAAAAATGCACCTCCAAAACAAATTTCCCTACATTTGGCAAAGTGAAGTCATCCCTTATCTTGGAATATTGTTGACAAACAAAACCTCTGACCTAGGAACTCTCAATTATTCTAAATTCATTCCAAAAATTCAAACCCACCTAATCAAATGGCTAAACATGAACTATCCCAGTCTGGCAGACTGGCCACATTTTAAAGTGTTCATATTGCCAAAGAGTTTATATCTATTTAGATCAATTCCAATCCCAATTAAATCCCAATTAATTAAAAAAATATATGTCTGGGCAAATATGAGACCTAGATGCTCACATAAATAAATTTATATTTATATATATATATATATATATATATATATATATATATAAAATCAAACACAAAAAAATAGGAGGAATGTGATTTGTTGACATTAGGGACTATCACAAAGCATCATTATTAGACCCACTTAAACATTGGTTTATAGTGGAAGATGATACAAAATGGGGTATGGGGTGACATTGAAAAAACTTTAGCCTCTACAACAGATTTAAGCGCCATACTACTAGCGAGCTCGTGGCAAAGGATTCCCACTAGTAAAACAACACCCACTATATGAGCCTTAATTGAAGCCTGGAAATCCTTAAGCTCCATGCCTATAGATCCTCTCCAAATAAGTCCTCTTCCTATACCTATAACAGCCTTAGAAGTTGTAATGCCTAGCATAGATATCTCGAATTGGAAACATGATGGCATATGCACAAGATATTTGTGTTAAAAATGACATAAAAAATGTTGAATTCCTTATGAAAGAATTTAACCTCCTCCCTTCTGAAAAATCAACCTATACAGTGGGGATCGAAAGTTTGGGCACCCCAGCTAAAAATGTGTATTAATGTGCATAAAGAAGCCAAGGAAAGATGGAAAAATCTCCAAAAGGCATCAAATTGCAGATTAGACATTCTTATAATATGTCAACAAAAGTTAGATTTGATTTCCATCATTTACACTTTCAAAATAACACAAAACAAAAAAATGGCATCTGCAAAAGTTTGGGCACCCTGCAGAGTTAATATCTTGTACTGCCCCCTTTGGCAAGTATCACAGCTTGTAAACGCTTTTTGTAGCCAGCCAAGAGTCTTTCAATTCTTGTTTGAGGTATCTTTGCCCATTCTTCCTTACAAAAGTCTTCCAGTTCTTTGAGATTTCTGGGCTGTCTGTCACGCACTGCTCTTTTAAGGTCTATCCATAGATTTTCAATTATGTTGAGGTCAGGAGATTGTGAAGGCCATGGCAAAACCTTCAGTTTACGCCTCTTGATGTAATCCCCCGTGGATTTCGAGGTGTGTTTAGGATCATTATCCATTTGTAGAAGCCATCCTCTCTAACTTCAGCTTTTTCACAGATGGCATCAAGTTACCATCCAAAATTTGCTGAAATTTTATTGAATCCATTTTTCCTTCTACTCGTGAGATGTTCCCTGTACCACTGGCTGCAACACAACCCCAAAGCATGATTGATCCAACCCCATGCTTAACAGTTGGACAGAGGTTCTTTTCATTAAATTCTGTGCCCCTTCTTCCCCAAACGTACCTTTGCTCATTCCAGCCAAAAAGTTCAATTTTAACCTCATCGGTCCACAGAACTTGTTTCCAAAATGCATCAGGCTTGTCTATATGTTCATTTGCAAAGTTCAAACGATGATTTTTGTGGTGAGGACGTAGAAGAGGTTTTCTTCTGATGACTCTTCCATGAAGACCATATTTGTACAAGTATCTCTTTATAGTGGAATAGTGTACCACAACTCCAGTGTCTGCCAGATCTTTCTGGAGGGATCGTGCAGTCAAACGTGGGTTTTGTATTGTTTTTCTCACAATCCTGCGAGCTGTTCTGTCTGATATTTTTCCTGGTCTTACAGATCTTGCTTTAACTTCCACTGTTCCTGATGACTGCCATTTCTTAATTACATTCCGAACAGAGGA